CTGGTATCATATTGATATATGCCTTGAGCTGCAGTACTCTTAAATTTAAGATATTCACAATGTCTATTATTTACATTGAAAACCAAAAATGAGTGCTTTTTACATAAATGGTCCTAAAAGATACAGGACTTCAAGCTACAGAAGAACTCCGGGGGCAGACGTTATTTCTATACCTCATCGACGCCAATATTATTAGTTCCTCTTTCTTATCAAGATGAATCCCTACAAGAACATACATGAAACAGTCATTATCAGAATGGAAAAGGAGTATGAAGAAAAGAGAGAACACAATATGTAAATAATAAAGACATAAAACAACAAGTGCTTTGTCACTATATCGCTACCAAGTTCTCAATTTAAGATAAATTTTGTACATTACACACATGATGCTCCTAAAATAGTATGCACAAATTATACTTTGAAAAGTTTTCAATTCATTCCTACTAAGATCTATTTTCCTTCTTAAGTTTTCTTTTTTGAAATAAATGTTGAGATCTAGTTTTAAATTCAGCAGGTATCAAATAAGATATTTGAATAATATATCCCCTAAAAAGCTTTGCCTATCATGTAACCTTCGTTTTAGTCGTCACATATATGCTAACATTTTTTTCCCCAACAGTTCACTATCTACTAGTGAAATCAAAGAGAACATGAAAATAAGATGTTCCTCTCTCCTTATAAATATAAATATAACAGGAAGGTACAAACAAGTTCTTTTCCTTAAATATCCAAGTAAAAAGTTTTTGATAATGAACTTTCCTAATAAAATGCTGGGCATGATTACTAATGTAAGAGAACAATAGCTATTAGATAAGTCTACTGATACAAACATGAATAACTACAGGAATATCAGGGAACTAAACCACCTGTCAAGCTTTATTAGAGTATAATCAATGCAAGAACATCAGTAAATTATTGAAGTCGGTGCCTTTTGTACAACTGGTACTTACTGTTGCAGCGGTGGACAGCTAAATATAGGAGATGTCTATACAAAGCAGACCAGTAACAGAACAACATGTGGGTAATAGAGACAAAGAGAGCAACACAAGGAAAATTTAACGTGGTTAGTCAATATCTTAACCTACATCCACAAGCGAAGACACCAAGATGCCCCAAGTTGAACATGGAACCACATTTTCATATAGCACTGTTCAATGTTACATTAAACGTTGGGCGCTTCTAGGCGTCGGACTTGGCGTCGTAAAATACCAACACATATGCTATCCAAAACTATAATAGTCAATCAAAGATGCATACATACTAGATAGCAATGCATATAATATCTCATATCTAGAAGTTTAGGTCCCAAAATATCAGTAAAAAGACAATCAAACAGGAATATTCTAGACTTTAATATAATGAATTAACAATATGCATCTAATCTAATCTCATCATCATCCATCAACATCATGAAGTTTCTCCTCTACTCCATCATCGCTATCCTCCCCAGAATCCATCTCCATACAATCCTCCTCGTCTGAAACATCATCATCCGAGACAAGAGGCTCTTCTTCTTCATCAATCCTTGAAGTAGAAGCACTTGAAGGTCCTGCTAGCCTAGAACTCCTCCTATTCTCCGCAGTCTCAGCCGCTTCCGATATAGCCTCTACCATCCTCCAAGTAAGGCCTGAGCCCAGATGAACTTCTTCCTCATCATCGAAGGTTGCTCCTTATACGATCCATGCTCGTACCTTACTACAATCATTAGATAGTAGTAAGTTCTTGTTTTTTCCTCTCCTCTTCGTCTGGTTAAGCTTCGAGTTGAACTTCACATAGATAAGTTCCTCTAATCTCTTCGATTCTAACATATTCTTCTTCTTCGTATGGATCTTCAAAAGAAAAAGACACAAATTAGAAAGCACAACAAAGAAAAATTTCATCTTATTCATAAGTTTAGAAATTAGTTTACTTTCTCAAATGTGCTCTAATTTCTTTCACAACCAGAAGAGCTGCTTGTCAAATGAGAAGTTTCATAGCCATATTTTGCATGAGAGGACAATCACCGCCATGCAAATACCACTAATTAGCTACAAAAAACAATATATTATTAGTTGACTCACTATCACAATAGCACAATAGATAACTTACAAGTCATAAATGATTCAATTTCTAAAATTATTTTACCTGGGTTCAAATCCGATTCTCTCTAGCCTTCACCGCTCCAATCCTAGCAAATGAACCATTTCCTTCTCTATACCTCTCAAACTCTGGAGCATGAATTTTAACTTGTTGCTCTACATCAGGATAGAACAACTCCACCACATCTAGAAATCAATCTTTCGCCCTTTTGCAGTTATTCACTAACAACATCCCTATAGAAATAGTAAGAGTTGAGGTAGTAAGAAGCCATATGCAAAGGAGAAAAGAGCCGATCCTTGGACTTTCCATCTATGATATCAATCACGGGCTTGAAATCCTTCTCATTCTTCTTGAAAGCTTGAATGATCTCCTTCTTCATATCTTCAAACATCCCCACCACAAATCCCATTGAGGGTTTGTAGTCACTATCGACTACCCTCAATAATCGAAAAATATGAGCATACACCTTCAAGACCTTGCCCACCGCCGTCCACCAACTATCACTCATAGCAATCGCCTCCACCTTTTGGCCTTTAGCGGTCTTTGCAAGCTTGCATCTCACCCATGCTTCATCGGAGAACATATATCTCAAATTTTCTTTCTTCTCAAGAAGACTCCGCAGAGTCAAAAATGTAGTGGCGAAACGAGTAACTTCAGGTCTCACAATGTCCCTCTTATCACAAATGTGACGCATCATTGACAAAGTCTTGTGATGACTATAGATTAAGACGGTAAGGGTCCTCGCCTTCTCAATTGCTCCTCTGAATAAACTCAACTTCCCAATGCTTTCAAGCAACAGGTCAACAATGTGTGCTGCACAACTAGTCCAAAAAATCCTCAACCTCGCCCTATATAAAAGCTCCTTCGCGGCCATATTTGTAGCTGCATTATCCATGACAACCTGAATGACTTTATCAGCTCCAATCTACTCAATAGCCCCATTAACCCACTCAAATATATATTGCCATGTATGTGCCTCCTCAAAAGTTTCAATCGACTTATGGAAAGTTGTCTCTAATCTGCAGTGGATGTAAAGATTCATTACCAACCGCATCTTTCTGTCCGACCAAGCATCGGTCATAATAGAGCATCCGTTCTTGTCTCACTCTTCGTCATGAGTCTTTAAAGAGACTTGTGTTCTCTCAACAGCTCTTCACAATAGGGGCTCCCTCAACATGTACATGCTGGGAGGTCTGTAGCTCGGTTCATAGTCTCCAATAGCCATGCATACCTTCAAAAAGGAATCCGTGGAGATGGCATGAAAGGGGATGGTATTTTCATATGCCTAGCTAACTGATCATGCACTCAATCTCTCTTCTCCTTCAAGAAAGAATCATTCACTCCTGTCTACTTCATTTTCCCTTTCAACCTCTTCGCTAGCTCTGGATCACTAGCGGTGTAAGCGTCCATCGGCCCAACAATAGGCTCTCTAGACCTCTTTGAAGATCCATCACATGTGGAAGGAGAGATGATTTTATTTTCACCTTTTTCTTTATCACACGGCCTCGTCGTATGAAGTTCTTCTTCAAAGTCTATAGTGTGCCTCTCCTTAGCTTGCTTCTTGTTTGAATTAGCATCAATCACTTCTTGCACCCTATGCTTATCTTTTTCATTAATCTTCAAACACGGTTTGGTGTCCCCCCTTTGCCCTGCAAGATGCTTCTTAAATCGATGGATCCCCACATTCACCTTGTCTCCACATAGTCGGTATTGCACAATATTCAATTTTTTGGGTCCAAACAAAATCCAAACTCCCAACCGATGTCCCCTGAGTTCTTTCTATCTTTCACAAGGGTACGGGGATAATGGTGGAACCCGTAGACTCCTTCGCTGGAGCACCCGACATTCTGAATCACAACAAGTAAACAAACAAACCATTCATATACTTAATATCAAATCATGATAAAGGGATAAACTAAAGTATAAATTATTAAGTATACACTTAAACCAAATATTTTTAACATAAGGTAACAGTAAACTTAAGTTAACAATAAGTTTAAGTTACTGTCAACTAACTTAAATTGACAAAGTCAAAAAATAGATATTTAATAAACTTAAGTTAGTATTTAAGTTACTGTTAACTAAATTGCATGGTTTACAATTACAGTAGCTATATGTATGCTTATACTTCTCAACTCAATTTACAAGTTCATCTCAACAGTGAAAAACTCATTCTCAACTCAAATTACAATAGCTAGCTCTATGTATACATACACTTCTCAACTCAAATTATAAGTTCATCTCAAGTTCTCAACACTGAAAAACCCATTCTCAACTCAATTACAGTAGCTTATGGCCTCTATGTATGCAGTATGCTTATACTTCTCAACAGTCAAAAAATATATATTTAAGAACGCCTTTACCTTGTTACAGAGATGAATGGGCTTCGACTAAACTTATGGTGCTACGAGATCGAAGATGAGGTGTGTGGGGCTTCGACAGAGTTCACGAGGCTTCGAGAGCTTCGAGAGGCGTCAACGAGGCCACGAGAGGTTTCGACAGCTCCGAGAGGCTTCGAAGAGGTCAAGGGAGTTTCGACGGGGTTTCGAAGGGGAACAGGGTTTCGAAAATAAAGAGCTGAGAGAAATTCGTGGCGACTTGGAGTCGGGAGTGAGAAATGAAAATTAGGGTTACTGTTTAGTTAGGTTTGGGTTTGGGTTTGCGTTTGGGTTTGATTATGTTTATTTCTGCAGTTGAATGACCCATTTGGAATTTTTTTTGAAATTGTTGGGGCGGCCCGTTTAAGCGGCCCGCTTAGCTCTGGGCGGGCGCTTAGGCGCTCCCAATGCCTAAACAGCGCCGCTCAGGGTGTTTCAAGATGCCCTGGGCACCGTCTCTGCCTAGGCGGGCGCCTAGGTAGATGCCCAGCGGTCCAGGGCGTTTTTTAAAACCCCTGGCACTGCTTTTCTCTCGTTATTGCTGTCCTTAATATCACTCTCTACCTAATCCACCATATATATCTTGCATATCTTTGCATATATAGCATTAATCTGCAGAGTTCTTTAAACTGCCAAAGAAAACTAGTTGTAAAAAGTACATAACACGAAAATACTTGCTGAGTAATGAAATACATCAAAAGTTTCATTATACAACAAGCAGAAATAACTGACTCCAATAAAAGCTTATGCCAATTATTTGTTTCCATCCAAAGCTTCAAGAGTACTATACAATATTTAGCATTAAAGCACAAACCAAACACAGAGGCAATTGCAGTATCTTGGGATTGGAGCATAATGACTGCAACTCTTTAGCACCTTGATTAGCTCCCTGATAGTTGGTTTGTTCTCTGGTTTCAGAAAGACTAAGCTTTCTAAAAATAACTACAAATGGAAGGACAAAATTACCTATATTTTGCAAAAATAGTAACATACCTGCTGATGAAGAGTGCGTGTGATGTGGAATGGGGCTAGGGCTCCTATCCAAAAAGAGGAGGCTCTGGAATGTGTGCCTTTGACGCCAATCCGGATCCGGTTTGAAAGTGCGAGGTTCTCGATGTTACGAACTTTGACAATTGTCCGAATCTAATCGGGATCTGAAAGGTGGAGCGGGTAAATTTTTAAGCCTTCAATAATTTTTCAGAGCTATGTCATATATGGTGGGGAGTTAACTGGGATCTGAAAGGAGGAGCAGGTAGATTTTTAAGTCTTTGATAACTTTTTGGAGTCGTGTTCATTATGATGAAGAGCTAATTGAACCTCGAACAGCGTTGTAAGGCCGATGGAGCTTCGCCAGAAGAGATAAACCATCGGCAACTTGATTGTTTGACATCATGATTGATTGAAGGACGATCAGAAGAGATTTAATGACGAGGGGAATCAAGTGAATCTTGAGAACTCATCGGAGGTCGTTGTAGACGTCTGTAGTCGGATTTGAAAGACCCAATATATCATCAGGGATCGGCGAGTGCTTTGGTGAACGCAAAGTCAAAGAGGAGGTTTGGTGGTGACTACACACTAGGATTAATGAGGACCTTGAATAAGTTGATGAGATTAAAGAAAGAGAGGGATTTGAGATAATAAACTACACATGCCAAAGACAACCACTTCACATGCTAGAGAAAAAAATCAAAACTCAAAATTTATTCATCAATGTCTTTTATTCATCAATGTCTATCTATCTCTGTGTGAGGATTACACATCTTATTTATAGAAAAAGAAAACATCTAAATACTTAAGGAAACAAATTAAAATCCTAATCAAATCAAAATCTAACGAAACTAAAAGATGAGATCAAATAAAATCTTAACTAATACATGTTTCATTTAAAACACTCGCCAACAATTCCTTGACGTTTACTATACACTTCATTTTCACTTGCTACAACTCGTTGGGTATGGGTCAGGTCTGTTAAAATCTATACCTAGTTCAAGACTATGATTTTAAAGATTGTTAGGGTATCTAGTTCAAAAACAAGTTGTTTTCCAATTTATAATGTACATAAAGAAATATAAAAGGAGAAAATTTCAAAACAGACCCATTTATATCTTTATTCGCCAATATCGATCCATTTCGAACATATTCACAAAAATCGACCAATTTTAACTAGGTCAAAAGATTTCTTTCTTATTAATTGGGGTTGCTAACCCCAACTAATTAGTAATCTGGTTAATTAACATTCTAAATAGTCAGGATTTTGCAACCGTGACTATTTTGAACTGCAGTTTCAACCCCCACTAATAACTGTGTAATTCAACTAGCATCTAAATAGTCGAGGTTGCAACCTCGACTAATTAAAAAGAAGCATTATTTTTAAATCAACCCAGTTTCAGCCAACGCTGCTGACTTGGCAACAATTGGGTCGATTTTTGTAAATAAATTTGAAATGAATCGATTTTGGGGAATAAAAATGTAAATGGGTTCATTTTAAAAATTCTCCAATATATAAAATGTCACTGAATAAAAAAGACATTATCGACCTCATGTAAATAATTAGTTTTAATATATTTATATAGTTGTGTCCTCATAACCTACCTTTTACAAATTTACCGTATCCCGTGTTGGGAAATACCCGCAGGAGCTACGTTAAACCCTTTAAGCAGCAAGAAAACACAATAGAGAAAAATACACCAAGATTTAATGAGGTTCGGCAGCTGCATACGTCCTTGGGAGCCACACAATTAATTTCTTATTAATCAACAAGAAATCACAAAGCAAGAGCAAATCTCAAACTTGAGATCCCTCAATAAATGCTAATTATTACTGTAGCTACAGTAAGAAAATCCCCTTCTAAAATACCAATTCCCTCTCTTAAATTCTCTCTTTTATTTAATTCCCGTCCTCAAAATCTCGTGAGCTGAATGAGAAAAGAGAGATCGCGAGAAAGGAGAGAGAGAGCCGCCGCCAGAGGAGAAAACGCGTGAGAGAGAAAAAGCAGCCACGTGTTCTTGAGCTCTGGGTTTCCCTTTTATAGACACGACCTCGCCTGCTCGAGCTCGCCTAACCTCGTCGAGCTCGCCTGCTCAACACTCGAACTTGCCTGCAACCCTTCGTCGAAACCTCGCCCGAACTAAGGTTTGGATCTACACCCAAACTAACATCCCGTATCCGTATCCGCATCCATAGCCACAGTTGTACCATCACCTATTTCTATGCAACATAGGTAACATAGGCCATCTGCTATGTTCAATCAGATGTTTAGTTAGGTAATATCTTAACTACAACTTTGCCAAAACAGAAATTTTCACCTTCATGCAACAAGGTGGACACGATAAAAATCTATTTTTCATCTTGAGAGGAAGCAATATTACAGAAACACTAGTCTGCTCTGCACAGTGGATTCAGCGCCCAACTGCAAGGCGGCGCTCTTTTGCCTTTTCAAATTATGGCTAAGAATAACTTCATATGTTAAGATCAAGGACTAGACTATACAATATTGCAAAAACACTCATAAAATATTGCAAAATAGAACCAATACTAGTGATGAAAAATACCAAAAAATTCATGAAGATTTACCTCAGGCGACAAAGGATGGTCAAAGAGGGAACAGAGAATGCAATGAGAATGGTGATGCAATGGCAACAACGATTTGCGATGGCAACAACGACGTAATGTTAGACGAAGAAAACAAAATATATATAGCGCATCAAGCAACGAAAGCCCACTTGGTGACAGCGATGATGATGACTTGACGACGGTGGAGGATGCTCGGAGTTGGAAGCCTGAAGGAGGTTAAGGAGAGGCAACGAAGGAAACCCGACGACGGCCAGAACAAAATGAGAGCGACTTTGAGTGAGAAGGACCCAACATTTTTAGGGGTTTGAACGGAAAGGGGTTCGAGAGTGTTTTGTTAAGGTATTTGTTTCACTTTTTTTTTCTTGGATATAGGGTGGATTTCAAGTTTTGGGATGTAAAAAGTGTTTTTTTTTAGTTTTGGGATTCCATAAACTTTGTTTGTTTTAAAATTAATTTTGGGATATTGAATCTCTAAATTATAAAAAAATAATATATTTTTAGGATTTGTGAAATCCTCCCTTTTGTTTCAACTTTTTTTTGGGATATAAGGTGGATTACAAGTTTTTTGGGTTTTAGAATTCCATAAACAATGTTCGTTTCAAAACCAATTTTGGGATATTGAATCCCCAAATTATAAAAAACTATTATATTTTAGAATTTGTGAAATCCTATTTTTGAGAGAGGATTTGGGTTGGTTATTGCACCTATATATTATAAAAAAAACTATTATATTATATTATATTAGCATGCTATACTATAAATAAGTAATATAATATAAAATTAATATATTATATATAATATTATAATAATATAATATTTAATATAATACATCTATTCCTCTTATTAATAATAGACCAACGAATCACTGTTCATGCTGTAGTAAATGCTGTCAATAATATATTATATATATTACATAATATATATATGAATATATATATTATATATATAATATATATAATATAATTATATATATATATATAAATGATATATATATATATAATAAATTATATTATATTATTATATATATAATTATTTATCACTCCTATTATAATATAAGATTAATAGTATTATCACCCAAGATCGCTTCTAATCCGATGCTGTTCACAATAATTATATAATATAAGATTAAGACCAGGCAAATGTTACAATAATTAAGTATAATATAAATATTAGTTATATTAATATATAATATTATAATAATATAATATTTAATATAATACATCTATTCCTCTATAATATAGAGAGACCCAAGAATCACTTATTCATGCCTGTAGTAAATGCTGTTAGTTAAATTACGTAGCATTATATATATATGTTATACATTATATAGAATATAGTATTATATATTGATAATAGTAATATAATATATATATATATATATATTATAATATATGCATATATAATATACGATTAAACATATATAATATAATATATATATATTATATATTATGATATATATAAATAATATGTTATATATATATATATAGAAGAGAGAGAAAATGGCGTATGCCTTGCTACCAAGCCACAAAAAATTGTCGGCTCTGGTAGGTGCAGGTGTCACATCTCCCTCCACTCATTCAATGTGGAACCATATTTCACGATGGTAATGATGTGGATGGAGATAGTGACCATCACTACCAACGCACAAAACTTTGCTGCTGGTGGCTTTCAAGCATACCATATTTCTCATATATACTATATATATATATACTATATAATATATTATATATATATATGAGAAAAAATGGGAAAAACTTGGCTACCAAGATAACTTGGGTAGTGAGTGGCCTAATCTTAATCGCCTAACATCTACCACTTAGATGTTGGGTGAAGAGTTGGTTGAGGGCACTATCTACGACGGTGTGATTGTTAGGGGCAAGATTTAGCGTCACATCACTAACCAAGTAACTTCGCCGTACCAAGTTTCTCTTATTTTCTCTCTCCTCTCTCTCTCTCTATATAATATATATATATATATATATATATATTATATATATATATATATATATATATGTTATTAAAATACTATGTAATATTATAATATATATGTTGTACTATTATATAATATAGTATGTGATATTGCATAATAATATATAATAAATATCATAAAATAAATTATGCGTATAAATTACAAATTATAGTATTCCAACTCCCAAAATATTGATGAAACAAATAAAATATTACAAATTATAGTATTCCAAATCCCAAAATATTGATGAAACAAATAAAATATTACAAATTGTAGTATTCTAAATCCCAAAATATTGATAAAACAAACAAAATTTTAGAGATCCCAAAACCCCCAAAAAAATTTATAGATTTCAAATTCTATGGTGAAATCCATATCCATAAATTTTGGGATTTGAAACAAACACCCCCTAAATGGAAGCACGCTTGATTTTAAAATCAGACCCAAAACTATATATTTTTCATCGGCAAAGGCTCGCTTAATAGGCCGCTCAGATCTAGTCAGAGCTAGGTGCCTGCCTAGGCACTTAAACATGCCCAGAGACCACCGCTCCACCAATTTCAAGATGCGCTGGCACCGCTCCACCAATTTCAAGATGACCGCTTATTAAAA